TTGGATATATTTTCTTCTGACGAACAACAGATATTGAGAAAATATCGAGAAGAAAATTTTGCACCCAAAAGACTTGTCTACAATGAAAGAAGAGCCATTGGGAAGTGCCCATTGACCCCGGAAGAGGTAAGACAGTTATGCTTATTGCCGTTTAATTTGTGTCTGGTGATTATACTTTTCAGACATATCTCATGAATATAATATTAACAATATTAGTTGGCCGACCCCATCAATATATCTCTCATGTTAGGTGGGCCTTATTCTGCGTTCAATGGGTTTTGACAATGCTACCAAGATATATTTAGCAGCTGGTGAACTATTTGGTGGGGAACGGTTTATGAAGCCATTTCGAAGTCTGTTTCCACACCTTGAAAATCATAGTTCCGTAGAACCTTCTGATGAACTTGCTGAGAACACTAGAGGCTTGGCAGGGTCTGCTGTGGATTACATGGTCTGTCTTCATTCTGACATTTTTATGCCAACATATGATGGCCCTAGCAACTTTGCCAACAACCTCCTTGGACATCGCCTCTATGAGGGCTTCCGGACCACGATCAGACCCGACAGAAAAGCTCTTGCTCCTATTTTCGTTGATAGAGAGAATGGGAAGACTGCTGGCTTTGAGGAAGCTATCAAGAGAGTCATGCTTGCAACAAACTTTGGCGGACCTCACAAGCGCATCACACCAGAGTCTTTCTATACAAATTCTTGGCCAGAATGCTTCTGCAAATTATCTCCTGATAACCCTGCTGACCGATGTCCATCAAATGATAGTTAATTATTTAGAACGATCAGATGCAGAACGAAGCATTTAATTACTAAAATGCGGCAATGTCTTCAGCAGAAAGATGAGAGTTGCTTCTCTACTTGAGCTAATGTTTATATTATTCCCAGTGATGAGCTGCTTTGCGCCAAGTTGAAAAGTAATGGATTCTTGTGATCAGATCCAGAATGTCAGGTTGTCTTCTCTTTCTTTTTTAGTCTCAGAAATTACACATTAATGCGAGAGATGCTGATTTGTTTATTGGTCTGAGTTTCACTTGGAACATGAAAGGAAGATCAGAAGACACTAGTTCCTCGTGCGTTAAAATGCTATCAGTGTCGCCGTTGGTACTTATTGTACTGCTAATTTATTAGCCAAACTTTCTCATGAAGTTTTGGATAATTTTTGTACTTTTGATCATTCCCCACCTTGTTGTAGGAAAGTGGCGAAGGACGAAAGTGTGATAAGAAATACTAGTGTAAGATTGTTGGTTGTGAGTCTTTTTTAATTCCCCCGAGTGACATTGCCTCTTTCCGTGCAAAAAATTGACATGAGAGTTTTTCTTCACCATCATTCTTATGGTCAATCTCTTATTTCTCCATATCCGCTTACTTTACCATTCGTACCAGGATACACATTATACTAAATCTCTCACCAATTCAGGTCTTGCTTTAGCATTATTTAACTAGACATTCAAATGACGCTTAATTCACAAAAATGTAATAGGAAAAGAGGGGGGAAAAACTATGAGAATATCACAATTTTACTCGAAAATAAAGGTGCCTCGGCAACTTTTCCCCAGATTCTCATGTTACGTAGTAACCAATACTGATAATGAATGTAATACATAATTTATAACTGGAAAACTATCGAACACACACGTCCACGTGCATTAAGATCAAATTAATCGCATTAAGATCAAAACCATTTATCCAGGAAGAGTATTCATTCCATAAAATAAATCAGTCTACTAACAGACAGAAACTCTCTAGACGAAGCACCCTGGGTATAAATACAATTATACATCATGTATAAATCAATAGCACTTGAAACTAGATTACCACTACCTGTGTTGCGTGTTAACAGACGAAAGTAGCAAATTACATCACCTTGTGTTAAGATATCCTTTTCACCAGTTTGGAGAAAGAAGAGTGCTTAATACCTGCTGGTACTATTTTCATAATATGCAGTTAACAGTTAGATTAAGAACTGTCTTCCGCCAAGCCCAGGCAAATACAAAGATCTACAAACAGGTGAGTCTACTCATCCAGATGACCAGATCATATTCTGCATTATCTTCAATGTCTGAGCTCTGAAGACTCTGCGAGTGACAATAGCAACCTTCAATGCCATTAACTTGCAAGCAACAATAGATAGGTTGGAAGATATATACCTCAATTACATACATTTACTATGAATCTAGTGCAGCATTTGATCTCTTTTCCTTCCATGTTTTCCAAGCTTTTCTGACTTCATCTAGTTCAGAATGTGGAATGCTTGAGTTCCTATCCAATTTCTCAACCCAATCTGTCCAAGGAGAATTTGATGAATCTAGGAACATTGAAACTTTAGGCAGCATAACAGATAAATAGAAGTCATCAACTGCCTGAAGAATTTGTTCCGATTCAACCATAGACACCATTTCTGGCCTTGTCATGTTTCCAGCACTTGCTCTCATTCTAAATGTGTTTCCCCTTAAAATTAAAACTTCTGCTGGGGCAAGAGGGAGGACAATTCGAGAAAATTTAACCAGCGACAATGCAAGGATGTCTCTAGGAAGCAAGTCCCGCTTTACTGCCACTGCAGTTCCAATCATTTTGCGGATCTGATGAGTTACCGAGTTAGTTTGTATATGATTAATCATTAATGTCATAAGTTTGAGCATTTAACTCTCTACAAAGGAATCCATTAAGCTATTTCATTCCATCCTATAAAAGAGAAGCAACCAGTTACCAAATGGCAGTTACAACCTAAAGTAAAGCAACTAGGCACCCAATGTGGACAGTTGATCATAATCATGTGAAACGAAGCATGCAAGCGTATTAACCACTGTTCACTGCTATGTCATGTGAAAAGGACCTCTGCAAAAGTTTCAAAGGGTCCAGTCTCAATGAGGCAGACTCTAAAAACCAGGTGATAAGCCACACAATTGCGTTAAATAAAGGCATTCAAATATCTTTAAATTCCTCCAATTACATAACTTTTAATTGTGGGTCAGTTATTCTGTTATCCCAACAGCCACTAAGAAAAATGTCGTGCAATGAACCACTGAGCATTAGAAGACTGCTAACTGCTGTCATGCTTAATTTTACGCACCACCTGAAAGGATAAGCATAAATAGACAGATCGATTCAAGCTGTCATAATACAATGGTTGCTGCTGGGGTTAAATCAGTTTTTTTCCACTTTTCTTTCCACTACTCATGGATGATGTGAAGCAAACCAAACAACTGATTTTTATCTTTTGGTTGGGGGGAGAGGGATTAGCAACTAGAGTGAGATATGAAAACAACATAAACCAGCCTCGAAATATCCAAAGAGTATGAATAGAATCTAGTCGCAATAAAGACATACTTGATGCAACATGAATGACTCCCCCCATATGTTGATCTCAACATAACCATATCCGAGTGAATTTTCCAAGTTCCCACAAGAACAATGAAAAACCCTTCTGAAATGGGAAGCATTTAATCTATCAGTCTCATCAGGCTCATATAACCATCTTGCATAGACAGCTGAACGGGAGTTTTTATAATTTAAATTAGAAGCGTCAACATCTAAAGATTTCTCCTCCTGTTCCCTGTTGCTTGAAGTGGATGGTTCACAACCGTCAAAATCCTCTCCATCACTTTCCTCAGATTCTGATCCAGAAGCTGAGATCATACCAAGAGAGTCTCTTCTGCTTGACATGCCAACATTTCCAGGTGATTGCCTTACCTTCAATTTTTTCCTGTACTTTGACCTGACAGTATAATTATGGAAAGGATGTTCTCCCTACAACAAAGCATAACAGATGAAAAAATAACTATAGGGGTAGCTATCAAAATGTTACCCTTACATCGTTCTTTTTTTCAGTTAACAATAAAATGATAGTGATGGCTGGTGAGTCACCAGTAACTATGCCTCGTACGTGCACAGCAACAAACAAAGAAAGGGTTAGAATTTCTGAACATGAATGGGACAATTTGCTTAAATAAAGATTCCAGCTTGGTGATGGAGATTTGGTGACATTTACCATGTATTTCTTCAATGTCTAGTAATTTTTTTTCACCTTCATAAATATAATTTTAAGAAAAAAAAAAAACAGAGCAATTCGGAACTACAGGAGGTTAATAATGAAATAAGTCTTTTACCCTATGCAACAAATAAATCTACTATCGTCATGGTTATGTTAACTACATTAGGTAGATAAGGCAAATGGGATCTTCACGTTATATGAAGTGAAAACTAAAATAATATACCTCAAAGGCGCTAAGTATAGTGTTGAAGTCCGAAATATGATATTGAATTTCATTCTCACTAAGATGACTTTGGATTCCTATAATATCAGCAGGGAGGAGGTAAGAGTACTTTCTCAGATTGCACTCTCTTCTAGGATCAAATCTCCTGAGACAAACCAAAGCCATGCGGTCAGGGAACAGGGTGAGAGAGGGCATTGAATAACAAGGAAGTATGCCGCTTTTTACTTAACATGAAGAAACGAAACAGAACAATTCTTTAAAAAAAAAAAAAAAAACTCTTATAATTGCAATCTCTCCTCCCAGTGGATACTTGTTTTCTCATGGATAACAATTTTAACTTGAATGAATCTAGGGTCTTTCATATATTAGTTGCATAATATACGAAATCAATTTTAGATTTTGATGCTACAACAGATTAGTAATAGTTGTAACACGTGAGACTAATGATCTTACTTTTTCGAAGGCAGAATACTAAAGACTTTGATAGTATGAGGAAGATAAGAGTTAATACAATTAGCAAGCAAAATGCCATAAGGGTCTCCTTGCCATGCATTCTCAGGAATCTCCATCTTTAAGGAGATCATAGTTGCCAAAGAGTGGACCTAGCACATCCGTCACATCAGACAGTTATGAAGTCAAATAAAGTGTATGTCCCCTCATGTGCAGGCATGCAAAAAGAAAAGAAACAGGGGGAAATTGCTCAAAAGTCCCTAATTAGAAAATTAATTGTGCACAAGTACCTGGAATCCAGTTAAGGACTAAGGTCCTTTAGGAGAAATAGATATGCATAAGAAATGGCAATCTACCCTTAAAGTAAACATTCCAAAAAAAAAAAAAACAAACATAAACGAAGCTGAAGGGAAAACAAGGATGAAGGCACAGGTGAAGAGCGAAGGTGCAAGGATGGAGTAGACGAGTGAGCAAGGAGGGGACAGTGACTAAGCGTGATTCCAACGATAGAGGTGGCAGAAATGATGGGGGCAAGCTATTCCGGAGAAGGAAATGCCTTTTAAGTATTATTTATTCATAACTCCTTTTGAAAATTTCACTCCATTTTTGTGATCTATGAAACCAATAAGTTTCCATGGCAAGTAACAAAGATTCTTCCAATTTCAGTTTGTATTGTAGCTGAGTGCTGGTTTAACCTTTTCCTTTTTCATTTAATGCCCTTGATTTATCGTCATTTGCCGTGTTTTCTTCTTGTTGAAGCTTGGAATGTATGGATAGTCCTTAACATGATTCCAAGTACTTTGCACAATTAATTTCCTAAGCAGGGACTTTTGAGCAATTTTGCCAAGAAATAGCCAATTTATAAATTCACAGATGAAAATAATAAGATTACTCCTTTGTCAGTTCTGCTACTTCGACCCCAAGCAACTTTGTACAGATCCCCATAATTGCTATCAAGGATGCCACCGGCCTTGAAAATAGCAGTTTCCAGTTCTTTCTCAATAGCTTCATGTCAAATTTGCAATGCTTTAGCAAGACGCCATCTGATTTATGAATGCCAGAAGCCACTTTTTGTTTTTTAATTTGAAAAGAAGTAAATATGTAAGGCTTGTACTCATTAAAACTTCTTACATAATCATTTCACATTAAACCAGCTTTTACTCAATGCAGCTACTCACATAAATGTACATGGAACACTGATGTACAGCCAAATACATTACCGTTCCGGAAAAATACATTGAATAAATATATAGAAGTTAAATTTCCAACGTATTTACTTCACGAGCTAGCATAATCATTTCTTATTTTCCAGCATAACCGAGGGAAAATAAGCAGAAGTAGCTTACTGGATAATCTGTGTTCATCTCGTTGCATTTGCAGACCTGAAAATAGCCATGTGAGATCACGCCATTCCGAACATTTCAAAACACATGCGAAATCCGAAAGATGGGAAATAGGGAACCTCTATAATCGGTGCCGACGTATCCGACACGCATTACGACTTTTTTCTTCATAAAAGGATGCCATTTGTTAGGAGAAAGGAGAGGCGAAGGGTTTGGAGGCAATTGGGCAGAGGTTTCAGTTTCAGTGGAAGAACAATAGCATCTAAACAGTGTAGGAGGCAGAAATGGAAACTTCGCGATAGGGTTTGGGTTCGGGTTCGGGTTTGGACATGGAGATAGTGGGAATCGCAGAGCATATGAGACCACCATTGCTAATCTTCATGAAGCTTCTGAATGTTAAGGAAGCGCTCAGTTGCTTATCAGCTCGAAGTCTTCCAGGGATTATCCCATCAGCACTAACTGCCGACCAACGGTTACTTACGGAAGATAAATCTTGTTATCAAGAAGAAAAAAGATAATTTTAGACTGGGAAAAAAAATTAAATTAAAATTATAAATGATACCGCTCGATTTAACCCACCAAACACCATCTATCTAATCAAACAGAGAAAAATATCAAATGAAAATTGAAAAATAGACAAGATATAATATAATAAGAATCATTTAGTAAAATCATATGCTGCTGATCTTAATTAAGTCATTATTATGATTATTATTATTATTTTGATAATATAAGAAATGCACGCAAAGGTGCATTGGGAGAAATTTGACAGAAAGGGTGTTTGGATACCCCAATAATCACTTTTCATAAGTATTTTTTTGTAAATCGAGACAAATTCTTCTATATATTTATCTCGTATACCTTAAAAGCATGTCTAAAACTATGATTTTAATCTTACCCAAACACGCCCTAATCATATTTCCAATTCCTTGATGGTATAACGAGAAGAAACGAGATGGCTACTAATTTGATTATTACTATTAGAGTTCTTTTCCATGCTATGATAAATCTTATTCTATCAATAACTACTTCATCATATTAAAAAAAATTAGTTAAATTAATTATTTAAAAAATATTTGTTAACTTTTTAAGCTAACTTTTTTCAATTATTTATCATTTGTATTAACACTATTTGTGATAAAAATTCTTTTACTATATACATACAATAGGAATAGTTTGAAAAAAAATTATAAATTTAAGAAATAAAATAACCTTAAAACTTATATTTAAAATTGAATAGGATGAAAATAACTATTTGGTTTATTAAGAACATCTTGTCAGAGATAAGAATATTATTATGAATTACTACAATCAATGAATATTCAAATTGGTTTGCTAAATCAATTACTACCTCCTGTCCTTCATATAAGACCTTGTTTGACTTTTATGTTGGTCTTAAATAGAATACCCTAATATATTTTATCTCTCATATTTATGCATTTTTTCTTAAGATAGTCATTTTAATAATGGTAGTTCTAGCCAATATAGTTGATTAAAAATGATATTTTAGAAAAAATAACACATATTTATTACAAATAACTAATTTAACTTATTTTTTTAATCTCCTCAAATTAATTAACTGGGTCTTATAATTAGGATCGGAGGTAATACGAGTTCATGAATCATGATGGTGTGGTCATGTCGAGATTTTGTATTTCATTAACCCCTCGTTGGCTATAGCAGATTGGTCGAATTAGATAAACATACGTTCTCAGGGTCATTGCATAGATTCATTAAATAGAATGTTTCCTTTATTTTTTTTTAAAAAAAAAAAAGAATAAATGCATGTCATAAGATGACGACTTTATTTCTTGGAAAAAAGATTTAACTTGATTAAAATGGGCCAAAAAAAAGATTCATGACACCGATGTAACTACATTAAAAATATTTATTTTCCAAGCAAAAATATGTTTATTTGAATTATAATTTTTGTTGTATTTTATTAAGAATTAGACACTTTTTTCATTTGATGAGGATTTTTAATTCGTAGTATTCATCATTTATATATATGTTGTAACTTTATATAATTTTTAGATATTATATTAATATTAAATGATTTAAAAAACCATGTGAAAATGCCAAAAATTTACTTATTAAAAAAAACCTAGGATTAGAATTTTAAAGCTAGCCTGTAAAAGAGAACAAGCTTGGATAAGTGAAAAACCTGCTAGAGCCTGAACTATTTTCACCCTAGACTATATTGAGTGTGCAGGTTGGCTAGCTAATCAATCCTTCTTCTCATGACCCACTTAACCTTCAAAATTTCAAACCTTACCCTACTTAAGTTAAAACCCCACTCACATACCCTACTTAAGTTAACACCCAACACACACCAAAAAAACTAACCCATAAACCAAAGCCTAATTAATCAATTTTCAATGTAAAATTTAATTTATTTATTGATTTTTTTGAAAAAGCCATGTCCTTGCTTGAATGTATGGGGAAAAAACAGATTTTTTTTTTTTAAAAAAAAATTATAGGCGAGTTGGCGGGCTCAAGTTGGTATTTTACTAACCTGTCAAGGTATAAACTATTGACCAACAAGTATTAGTCCAAATAGAAGGGATTTGGGTACCTTAAATATCATATCCTGAGTTTAATCCTTGTGGCGGTATGTATGAAAAAAAACATTGTTAGGAGGAGTCTCCGCTGCGGCACCTGATAGTACCATGAGAGATTAGTCTCTTACCATTCAAGTGGAGGGATACTCTATACAACAACAAAAAAAATACAAACTACTTTAGTCCACATCATAATAGGCCAATCCGCAACCTATAGGTTGGCCTTTTTTACCAACTCTACATATAATGATTTTTGTTGTTTTTTTTTTTTGGGTATACAGGAGGGCTGGAGTCCAAAATAAACACAACTAATTAATCAAGGGATTAAATCCCAGCAAATCATTTTCGCAAATGTTCTTCAAGTGAGTAGGACACGTGCTGAACAAGGAAGAACACGAGAGCCCATCTTTAGCAAGTGAATCGGTAAGCATATTCGACCTTCTGGGTATATATAGCAAGACCAGATCCCATGCATATCTCATTAATGACCGAGTTTGCATAAACACGAGGCTGCTTGAAGACGACATTTCCACCTTTTGTAAAGCATCAATAGTAACTTTCAAATCCGATTCTAAAACAACTTTTCTAAAACCAAATTCTCAGGCTAAATTTAACCCCTTTAAGATTGCCCATTCTTCAGTCTCTATAACACTACAGTCCCCTATGAAATGAGAAAAAAACAACAATCCAAGAGCCATTAGTGTCTCTAATCATTCCACCACATCATGCTTTCTTAGAGGACAAAGAAACAGCCGCATCAACATTGATTTTAACCCAACCACTAACTGGAGGTTGCCATCCCCATATATGATTAGATAAACCTTTTAAAATTAAAGTAATCGGTTCTGAGGATTGTGCATAATTTTTCCAAGTATTCAAAACAACTATGGCAGGTTCGTTTGGCTTTTGAAAATCTTCTTGAAAAACATGTTTATTTCTCCAGTTCCATAGCAACCAAATTGAGACTCCCCATATGAAATTCAAATCCATGGTCACAGCAACTCCCACATCATTAGAGAGATTCTAGGCCACCCATTCAGTTAAAAAAATGAGAAGAAATGAGATAAATACCTTGGATGAACAAGGTGCAGCCACACTTCTTTGGCATACAAACAATCCCATGAAATATGAAAAGCAGTCTCAATCCCATCATTACAATGAGAACAATTAGGAGAGCTTATAGACTATCTACTCTTCCATTCTCTAGTAGGCAATCTGTTATGAAAAGTAATCCATAAGAAGACTCTTATTTTCTCAGCCCCATGCCACTTCCAAATATGCTTAAAAACAAAATTATAAGCATGAGAGTTGGTTTTCTCAATCATTTGATAAGCACTCTTAACAGGAAAGTTTTCCATGAGTAGAGTTTTTCCATGTCATAACATCATTTCCTGCATTGTCAAAGGGAGGGATTTGAGTAATCAATCTCTGCATCACTTCCTGGTTAACCACATTCTGCAAGCAATCATAATCCCAAGTTCTAAACTTGGTCCAATCGGCCACATTTGAATTTTTTTTTCATGGGAGTTAGCGGGTGCTGACACATATCTTTAATCTTCTTTTGCTGGAACAGCCTAATATCATGAAGAAACTTATATGCTCACCATTTCTAAGCTTCCACTTAATTCCACTATTAACAAAATTACTTTGCTGACAAATAAAATGCCACAAACGAGAATCACCCTTCTGCACATTGAGTATTTCTTCTTCACTCCTCAACATATACTTATGTATTAAAACATCAGTCCATAGAGCTTTTAAGCCAATGATCAACTTCCATGCATGTTTAGCACCAAAAGCCTGATTCACTGAGCACAGTTTCTTAAACCCGAGTCCTCCATGGCTCCTTGGCTGAGTGATTTTGTCCCAGCTAATTGGATGGTAACCACAGTGTTCCTTCTTCGCCCAAATAAAATTCTGCTGCAGCCTTTCCACCTCATGACAAATACTCTTTGGAATCATGGTGACCTGCATCAGATACAAGGGAACTAAACTAAGGACTAATCTTGCTAACGTGATCCTACATACTATTAAGAGACAATTAGCCTTCCAAGTAGCCAATTTAGAGTTCACTCTATCAACTATATATTGAAAAGTATCTCTTCTTCTTTTATCTCTAGTTAAGGGAAAGCCTAAATATTTGCCAATCTCTGTTGTGATTTTCATTCCAATGATATCCATAACTAATCTTCTCATTGTAGTATGAACTCTCGGAGAAAAGAAAATGGATGACTTTGTTGTGCTAACCTTTTCGCAAGCGGCTAAATAAAATTGATTCCAGCACTGTGTAACATCCTAAGTTTTATCGGGTTTTAATAGCCTCTTTTTGGTTGATTTTGAGGATAGATTAGTGATTTGATGTTGATCTTGGTGTTCGGGGTGGAATTGAGATATGTTGGAAGAATAGGTGAACATACCCCTTTCAGGGTATGTTCGCCGCGGCGAAGCGAACCGGGAGTTCCAAGGGGGTTTGTCTTTTCGGGAAGGTTTGGCCGCGACGAAGTCATAGGGATGCCGCGGTGAAGTTGTTCAGGTGAGCGAGGTTTCCCTCTCGGGAAGGTTTCGCCACGGCGAAGGTTTTCTAGGTGAGCGAGAGTTTCCTCCCGGGAAGCGTTCGCCGCGGTGAAGTCAGGTTTTCAGGCGAGTAATCCCTCTCGGGATTAGTTCGCCGCGACAAAGTTCTGGGTTCGCCGTGGCGAAAGGTGCGGAATCTATATAGTCGCGGGAGGGTCTGTTGGTGCGAAAATTAGAAAATCTAAAGGAGGAGAGAGAAGCTCTGCTAGGGTTTCGGTGTTGTGGCTTGGGAAAGGCATTTCTAAGGATCCATTACCTCAAGTAAGTGATTTTAACCTCTAATCTACTTTCTTTCTTGGGATTTCTGAGGATTTATGGTGAAACTCTAGAGTTTTCTAGGTTGTTATGGAATGAAGGTTTTTGACCAATTGTTTTGAGTTTAATTGATTGCTTTAGATTAGTCTAAGTATTTAATCGGTGTAGTTTTCTTGGATTTAAAGAACTTTGAGTTTTTGAAATTGGGGTTTATGGAAATGGGAGGTTTGTGATTGAGGATGATAATGTGGAGGTTGATTTTGAGTTTTGTGATTTGGGTTATGTTAAGGAGGGTTAAATTGGATGTTTAATCGGTTTAGAATGTTGTTAAGACTTCAATTGTTCAAATGGGATGTTTGGGTGTTGAATTCCTATAGTGGGTCCTTGAGATTATGAGTTTTAATTGATGTTTGGAAAGGAATTAAGGTTTTAAATGGATTTTATGACCTTGGAGTGTTGCCTTGATAGTTATACCCTTTGAGTTGGGTAGAGTTCGGTTGGAGTTAGGAATTTTTGTGTCCCCAAGTGTTGTTTTGGCCACATTATTAGTTGAAAGCTAATACATGATGGTTGTGTGTTTGTGTGCTTGTGTAGACCGGTTGTGAGCCTTGTTGGTGCACGTGGCCGTATTGTCGGTTTGTTATTCCTTGCTCAGGTGAGAGGTAACCACTTTCCAATCCTTTGTACATGCTTTTGTGGTATTGTGAGTGAATTTATGTTTTGTACTCCGAGTAACAACTGTGTTCAAAGTGTATGTTGTATATTAAAAAGAAAAACCGTCTTGTGGGGTTTCCGTTGATATTGAATGAATTTGGAACTTGTGAAAGATAGGCCACTGAAAGAAGTTATTTGTGAAGTGATTATTTACTCTTGATTACAGATTGAGCATGATGCATGAATTGGGAATTGGTGAGAGTTTTGATTGTTACTACCACGTGGTAAGGTCTCCATTAATGCATGATGGTTAGCTCTTTACGTCCCTCATAGTGAGGGATAGGCCTTTTATGGCTCCTTACGTCCCCCATAGTAATGGATAGGCCGGGTTCGGCTCTTGAAAATCCCCCAAAGTGAGGGATATAGTTATTGGGATTGCATCATTGCACTTGCATGACTTGTGTGGCTATCATTTATCATATTACTTGTGAACTGCCCCACTTGACACCTCACGAGCACCTATTTAGTAGTACCTTGAATTGGAAAGATTGGTTACTGGAACGTTTGTCTCACCCCGTGGTTTACAATGTTTTCAGGTGAGGGTTCCGAGCGTGTGCCATCGGGAAGAGACGCAGAGGCTTAAGCTTGGTTAGCTTTAGGCCTCTAACCCTTGTATATGTATGGCTAGTATATATTGCCATATTTAGGACCCCTTTTGAAATATTTTGATTACCCGGCCTTGTTGTAAACTGGAGAGAATGTTATCTCCTTATTTTGGTTGGCCAGAGGCCATTTCTAGTGCTTTGTGAAACTTTGATATACATGGTTGAAAACTAATTGGATGGGCTGATTTTGATGTTTTTTGTTACCCGAGCCGGAGGCTCAGAGGCTCAGTGGTTGTTAATGAATGATTTTAGTTGTATGCAACAGAGTTCGAGTTTGAACCGAGTTTAAATGTTAATTTCTAAAGTTATGCAATTTCTTTCTACTATGGTAGTTTGTTGTAACAGCTTTCCTTTCCTATCATAGTAGTGAATTTTATGACGAGTTTATAATGTTTTTAGAAAAGGGTTTTACACACTGCATCACATACTCTGCTTGTTCTTTAGTTGCTCCCCCAAAGAGCAATAAATCATCAACAAAGAGCACATGTGAAATTTGTGGCCCATTCTTACTCACTCTTATTGACTTCCATCTATTTGGGTTTATTGCATCATTAATGATGTGTGAAAGCCTATCCATACAAAGAATAAACAAATACAATGAAATAGGATCCCCTTGCCGTAAACCCCTCTTTGGAGAAAAATATTCAGTCAAGGATCCATTCCATAAAACATTATAGGAAGTGTTGGAAATACAACACATGACTAGATTATTGAAATTGTCATCAATTTTTTCATCTATCATAACTTCTCTCATGTAGAGCTCTATTTGATTTTATCATAAGCTTTCTCCAAATCATTCTTTAGAGTCAGAAACCCTTTTCTCCCCCTAGCTTTATTTTATCCAATTCACCTAAACTTTTTGTTTAAAAAAAAATATTATCCATAAAAACAAACGTAAAGGAACAAGGCACCACAGTTCCTATACTCTAGGTTCACAAAGGAGACTAACCACGATTTGGGCTTTCACAAAACTCTGAGAGCTCCTATTTTCTCCTAGGTCTAAAGCTTCAATTCCTAGCTCACTTGGGTCCAAAGGAGTAGTAGAGGAAGGGACATTCTCTAACATCACCTTATCACAGGCATCCCTCGAACATCCACCTCTTTTTTCTCCCTCTAAAATCATTCTCCCATCATCTTCACAATCAGTATTTTGTCCCATTGTAATCATAAGAACATCCCCTTTTGTTCTCCTATCCAAACCCGACTTTTCTCTTGTCCGTTTCTCAACACTCCTCGTACATTGTCTTTTGGTACGGTGGGCACCACTCTCTTCACAGTCTCGGCAGTAGTTGTTGCTCCATTTTGCTTGCCTTTTGAAGGTTGTACATGAGCTTTTTTTTGCTGCACATTTCGTACTAGAGTTGTCTCTGTCATGGTCAGTTCGCTAATCACTTCATTAACCTCATTATTTTTGCCTTCTTCATTTGCTAATACACGTAATCTTGTTCTCCTTGTTTCTCCTTGTTTTTTCATGGTCTTCTAGTCTTTTAGACTACTCTCCATTGCTCCTTGTTCCACCCAGCATTATTAGCTTCCTGCACATTAATTTCACAATGACTAGGACCATTATGATTCGTCTCCTCAGTTTGCTAAGTTTTTTTTTTTTCCCCGTATAGAGAGCATATATCATGTCTATGCCCATATACGCCACAACTGGTATAGAGCAGATGCAAGCCTTCATATTCGAAATAATCTTCCTCCCCATCAAGCTTGAAGCCCGGCATCATCTGTAGCTCTACCAAGATACAAATTCTCGCAAAGTGACCCCTTAGTTGATGGGAAACATGTAATGATTTTAACGGAGCAAAACAACAGCTTCACTTGACATGTGAGATTGAAAATAAAATATGTCAAATATGGGCCACCACATGATGCCACCAAATGTATTCTTTTGTGGGTTCGATATCAGAATCCAGCCCATGTGAAATAATTCGGGCCAAATTCAAATTGGAGCCCACAATAAAAAGAAAAAAGCTAAATAAGGTCTCACTTAAAAAAATTAAATACAAAAAATCTCTTGAAGTTATCAAATTATTTTGAAATCTTGAGGAATCTTGTTGTAATAAATTTTTTTATTTAATTACCAAATTTTTTTTTTTTAAAGTATGTATTGACAACTAAAAAAAAATCGTCAACAACTTAAAGTATAAGAATTAGCAACTATCGCGACAAGTATTAACAGCATATTTTCTCAAAGCATTACAAAAATATAATACATGAGTTGTCAATATCTGTGTTATAGTTGTTAATCTTTACACTTTAAGTTATTAATGATAGTACTTTAAGTTGTTAATGCATACTTTAAAAGAAAAATAAGGACAATTTAATAATTAAACAAATAAAACCTCTTGCAAACGAGGTTCTTTAAGATTTCAAAATAATTTGATGAATTTAAAGAATATTTTTGTACTTAATTCTCTTAGATGAGAACTTATTGCAATTTTCCCCTTTCAAATCAAGCGCTATTATTCACCGTTAACTAATTAACTTGATATAATTATTTTGTATTATTTTGTATCATTAATTTCCTTAATTTAGTAATAAAATTAAATTAGAAGAAATATTTGGAATAAAAATGAAATGAAATTAATGACTAAATTTTCAAGATAAAACTAAAAATAAATAATATAATAAGAATATAATAAGTAAAACTTTTCATGCTTTGTATAAAATTGGAGATCAACATTTATTATGAGTTATGAATAGTGCTTTTTTTTCCTCTTGAGAGTCTGCTGTTGTTGGTTTTTTTTTTTTTTTTTGGGTAATGGGGATTTGCTGTTTTATGTTTATATAGATTTTCGACCTTCATAGTAATGATTATGTTGATAACTTAATATTGATAATTTTATATAAATGAACTTAATATTGGTATTGATAATATTTTGATTGAAAAATAAACATTAAATCATTAAATTAAGGGATAATTATTTTAACTCGTTTGCAACTCAGTTTTTATATTTTAACTCGACGCAACTTAATTTTTATAGTTTTTACTCGGTTCACTTCTTAAAGTTTGATATGTTGTAACTCATCCCCATGCTTTTAATCATTTTATACTTTAGTTCATCTCTTTATTAGATATATAATTTTATTTAAAACACAAAGATTAAATTATAAAATAAGTAAAATTTTGAGGATCGAGTTGTAGTAAGTCAAATTTCAAGAACTAAATTACAACTAAATCAAAATTATAAGGATTAAGTTATGTTGAGTTAAAATATAGGAACTGACTTACAAACGAATTATAACTATACAGGCCAAAAGATTAATTCTTTCTTAAATTAAAATTAAGCAAAAATATGCATTTGGTTATGTTTATACAATATTTCAATTTAATCTCTTAATTTTAAGAAATATATTTTTGATTCTTTAATTCTCAAATTATTAGTCTCAAATGATATTTTTTATAATAATCATAATTATTTTGAAAATTAAACTCAATATATTAGTATTGGAGAATGTTTTATTATCACTCAAGATCTTAATATTAGTTTTTTTAAAATAGTTTTAGAATTAAAAAAATAAAAATATAACTTTAAAAATTAAAGGAGTAAATTAAAACAAAGACTAAAGTATACCTTAAAATTAAACCTTAAAAAAACATGACAAATTGTACAGAGACAGAGGAGGAGAAGTAAGCTCGGTTGTTGATGCAGATTCGTTGTCCAGAATCAAGATCGAAGGCATTCCTTTCCAGGCATCTTCTAACTTGCTGTTTAGGTATAATCTTTCTCTACAATTACGCTATCTGCTCTGTGATCTTTCGTAAATTCACCGATTTATTATAGCATTTAAGAAATTCTTCTCTGAAATCAGATGCCTTGCAATCCTTGACGAGTTTTCGGTGAAGATTGGGATTTTTCATGTCCTGGTCAGTTTTTTTTTTTTTTTTTTCATTCTCTCTATTATTCTAATATATATGATCCTGCGTCTTTTCCTTTTTTTCCTGGGTTAAATTCATATTAGTCGTTAACGGGTTTTCTCATTTCATCTCTGCCCAAGCTGTGATTTTTATCAGTTTAACAATTTGATTTGATTATTTGGCCTCCCTCCTGTGCAAACTCGGAGAGGAAGCGTATAAAAGATGAGGTTAATTTCCATGTTAATAAGGATTCTTAGAATTATACGTCTCAAGAACTATTTGAATTGTCCTAATAATTAAGACTTCTAACAGAAGCATTATGAGGGCCTCAGAGGTGATTTAGACGTGAAATGCAGCTGGAAGATAGAACAATGCTCTGTTAATCCTTTTTGAAGCGAACAAAAGAACTCATTACTAAGTTACGTTAAGGGAAACGCAAATTTTCAAGGTTTGTGTGTCCAAATTCGGCCTGAACCCTGGCATCCGATGCATTTTGCTGATCAACTTTGAAGGTTCTGTTTTATGGGTGCCATGGTAATTTTCCTGTAACAGTCAATTTTAGCTACTAAATTACCAATATCAAAGCGACCTTCCTTCTAAAAGAAGCAAAAATTCCTACAAGTACTCTTTCCTTTACCTAAACATGGACTTTGCCTCTCTCCAATGTTTCTGTTACCCTTTGCAAATGATTGCAACAAAGGTAAAAATAGAAAGTTTATACAACAGCACGACTCACAAGAGCTGATTAAAGTAATACTGATAGAATTACAACAAACTGATTGGTATATTTCCCCTTCAAGAGACTATCTATTTATCAAATTTTTTCTCCAATGAATTTCATCCACCCATTTAATTGCATTAAAATATACTGAACAGATTAATTTTTTAAATTCATTACTCATATGCAGTATTAGATGAAAAATACAAACCGCATGGACGTTGAGCGTCTTTGTAGTTAGAAATTTATACTGTTAGTTATTGGTTATTTACTGCATCATTAAAGTTTAGTGATGCATACATTGCTTCTTCTTCAAAGCAAACCGTTAGTCATTTCTTCTATTGGTTTCAACTTTAATGTGTTATTTTGGAAGTCTGGGATTTTGTTGAGGTTGCCCAATAGCTATATTACAGAGATTGACTAAATTGTTATCACTACGAATACAGATGCTACTTCAATGCATAGAAACAACTATTTCATTTGTACCACTCATTTTTGTGGCTTTAGATCCTAATCTTTCTTTCTTACACAACATCTGACTTCCAACAATTGCATATGTTAGTGCTTTTTATACTTTAAGAGGTAACACTGAAGTTCACTATTGGGCTTATCAGCTTTCTGTTCTTTTACTTACTGATCCTTGCTTGTTCCTCACGCCAAATGCTAGAATTTCCTTACTTAAATTACTCAAAGATTCTCCCGCCTTTTCCATTCTTCTTCGAATCTCTCCATTTCCCCCTCTTTCCATATCTGAGGAAGTGCATGTGTTGCTTTTAGTTTAGACAACTAGTTTTTCAGTCTCTTTTAAGGGAGAGCATGTCCCTAGTTTATAAGCCTACAGCTGTTAGATAGGCTTGTCTCTGATCTTTCCACTTTCAATTTTATCCACTCGTTTTATTTGGCATAGGATCGTTTGCCTAGGATCTTTATGGGTTTATTCTAACAGTCGTCATTTTTGAATGAATTACTATTAATTCCCTGAAGTTCTTATGACATTCAGCATCATACATCACTGGTAGTGGTGAGCAAAAAAAATCCACATTACTTCACCAGCACACAAAGTTTTCCCCTTGCTCTGTTTTCTGTAGTTTATATAAAACACACTACCTCCCTTTCTGGCCTGTTTTCTCTGTGTAACCTATGGGATAGACAGCCTTCTTCCCCAACTCTGTTTCCTTCAGTTGAGAAGAAAATGCTTGTGTGGATAGGTTTAACTTGTATTATTTGAGTAAGGATTTAATGCATCTGAATCTTGAGGGAGTAAAATGTTTGTTTTTGAAACTTGAAGGGGCTAAACTGTGAGATTTAAAACTTGATGTACTGAGTTTGATTTTCAGGAAAACTTTAGGGGGTGAAGTGTGATCTATTCTTATTTTATTTAGGGCAATGCCTACTTGACTTGCAGGGCGTTGAGTCAGTTTCCTGTTCGCTGCACTTGATTCTTTGGCTTTATTTCTTCTACCTTTCTTTGTGCTAGTTTCTGTTTTTGAGAAAAGATCTAGTACTGTCGTATTAGCTTGCTTGATGGAAATAATTAAATCTCTGGTTGTCATACTCTTGGAAAAAACATATCCCCATCATGATTTGAGTCAGTATTGCTAACATAGTTTATTATATGTTTAAAAGTTCTCAAATTTCTGTTTAATTTGCAGTGGTAACAAGTATTCAATGGCGTTTGTCATTCTGCCGTAGTGTTAATGAAAGGAGCTGCGGTTGGACAAATTTTACACTTATATCAGATATTTAATGGGGATCAACTGAAGTTCCAAATAGTACTCAATGCCAATGGTAAACCCTAAATCAAAAGTGTCTGGTCGTCCAAAAATATGCTACAGACCTATACTACCATCTGACCTTGACACTATAGAGCATTTACATGGAAAGCTCTTTCCTATCAGGTGAGATCTCTTTTAATATATTTATATTTTCCAACTGTCTTTATGATGAGCCACAGGAATTGTGCTAACGTAGAAAAGGATATTTCAAATTTTAGGTATGAGTCATTATTTTTCCAAGATGTAGTAAATGGGCATGACATTGTGTCATGGGGAGCCGTGGACCGTAGTCGGCCTGAGGGCCAAAAGGATGAACTTATTGGATTTGTAACAGCACGGATTGTTCTTGCAAAAGAAAGCGAGGTCGGTCCTATTATGTACAATTGTATGCCTTTTCCTAATTGCTTGAAGCATTTTCAGAAGAAGTTAAATTGTGAATTGGCAGCACACTAACACCCCAGCTGGATAGAAAAACTGAGATTTTTTGGTCTTCTCTTACTCTCTGTAAAGGAATCTTGTAGTTGGAATGTGACTTAACCAGCTCTTTGCTTGCATTCATTTAGTTGGTGGCAATATATGTTGTGTCAGAAATTGTTGTTAGAAATCTTAGTTATGGTGCACTCAACCTATCATTTTATCTAAAGATAAGAAATCTAAATATAAGCCATGGTTATGCACAGAGAGAAACTTTAAAAAAAAAAAAAAAAAGATATTCCCTTAACATTCTAAACCTAAGCTTGGCCTAATGTTTATGAATCTTGTGCGTTTAAAAATTTGATTATGTGTCACTTCGGTATCAAAATTTTATAATTCATTATAGAGTACATTTTCCTTAGGGTACAACTGTTTGAAAGCTGAAGGTTTGACTGATTCTAAATTTACGTTTTTTACCAAGGAATATTATTTATGCAGATAGTGGATATTCTTGGATATGACTCATCCAAATCAGATCAAACTTTAATTTATATTCTGACGCTGGGTGTGGTAGAAGCATATAGAAATCTCGGAATAGGTATGAAATTCTGTCACTTTAATCTAGTTTATGTTCTTGGTGGTATAATCTGTGGTCCAATTTCTGCTTCATCTGCAGCTTCTTCACTGATTCGGGAGGTCACAAAATATGCTTCAAGCATTCCAACCTGCCGAGCTGTTTACTTGCATGTAATTTCTTACAATAACCCAGCAATCTTTCTATACAAGAAGATGTCTTTCAAGTGTGTGAGAAGACTGCAAGGATTTTATTTCATCAATGGACAACATCATGATTCTTATCTATTTGTGTACTATGTGAATGGGGGCCGATCTCCTTGCTCACCATTGTAAGTACACAACATCCTTTACGCCTTGACTTGCTTAAACTGACCTTGCAGTTTTCATCTGAACCCTTTGATATGGATAGTGTAAAAGAAGTTGCCCATTTTTGTGTCTGATTGAAACATAAGTTTCTGGAGTTTGAACCATTCTGGTCCAAACCAATTAAGTTGGGCTAGTAAGGGCTTTGTGTATGCTTTATTGATTTATTAATGTTTAGACTTGAATGTTTTCCGAGCACATGTTATATTCATGTACTAAAATGTTTTTTTGGCATGGTATAGTAACATGTGATTCATTTCAGAAGGAAAGCCATTCCAAAGTCTTCTCATTAACCTTTTTTAGGAATATGTGATCTACGACATGGGAAAGAGGGGTAGGGAGAAGAAGGAGGCAGCTTAAGAATGGAGGAAGAAATGAGGGAACTGGGAGAGAGCGTGACGGGGAAAAAAATCTCGATATTATTTGACAGGCAAAGTGGTTCCACATCAAAATAACCCTAGGATATTTATAAAGCTCTAACTACAATTATGGAAATAATAATAATAATTTAACCAATTTAATCGTAGATAAAAGATGAGATGAAGCATTATAAATTAAAGAAAACCTAACTTTTAAGATAGATATAATTACTAATCATAAGATTACTAAAACTTGATATCTGCAAAGGCCAAAATATGATGATTATATCTTCAATCTTTAGGGCTTACTTGGGAGTCAAAATGTTATGCACAGGAAGGAAAAAGGGATGGTAAATGTTACATGTGTCTCTGGACCAAAAAACTATCACTGTTGGGTAATATTAACTAAGGTATAATAGACATTGTCTATCTCATGTTTCATTCGAGAAAAGGATATACTTTGGAATAGGTATTAAGGAGGAAATTGTCCCGAGGCAGATTATTGACTGGCTTCCAAAGTAGTAAGTTCATATAATGATGGTGTGTATGTTGTGTCTTGTAACAACTACCTGTCCTGGAAACTGGTTAGGATTTTATATGAGTACTTATATCCCTTAGAGAATTGTATTATCATATTTCACTTTTCAGGGAGTTCCTCACTGGAATAGCAAGCTACATGAGGAGTGGCTTCAAGTTAATTGCTGCGAGGCTACGCAGGAATGATGAGAGGAAGATTTCAAGGTGGGCAAAATGTAAAGAAAGTCATTCTCTTGTATCATCAACGCATAACAAGAAAAACATGGCAACTGAGTGTACTAGATATGAGTGTGTTTGATTTTTCTTAATTATATTGTTGGGTCTGTCTGTTGTTCCATGTATAATAATATATCCTTACCTTCTTTTCCTCTAGGAAATGTCATATTGAAACGTAGAATAACACCTTCTTATTGAACGACCATGTCCTGTCAATAAAGTTCCCCGTGTTCTGTTAAAAGGTGATGCTGATTATCTGTTAAGTGCTGCAACCAATTACACTTGTGATCCGGTGGACCATTCCAAAATTGTCGACTGGTGATCAAGAGCTTCCGATTTAGTTTAGCTGTAACTGTAATTGTTGTATTATACACAGGACTGGTACCCACTTGATAATTCAAGGGTTTCCTTGGCAGATTATTTTTTGGTCTGTTCAATGCAGTTTGTTACCTGTATGTCTGTAGGTGGATGGGATCAACATTCATTATCAGGCGACCAAAGCCACAGTAAACAGGTCATAAGATCTTAAGATTTAATTCTTTAGCATAAAATTTTAATTTCTGGCCTTTTAAGACTGTTTTGCTCGGTTTTAGGCCTTCCGAACGTGAAGAAAATGCATATAAACCCAAGATTATAAGGATGATCCAGACCAAATATACACAAAAAATGAATGCTTCCTTTATCTAGAAATGAGCTTGTTTGATCTCGCACACTTGCACGCAAGTTGACGTGTAAAGTATATTCTACTATGGCTAGTTCTCAATATAAGATTTATTTTGTAGTATATATTACATTACAAAATAGATCTTGTATTTAAGAGTGGAGGTAGCATTATTTATGTAATCTATTTATCCACATGATTCAATATAAAATAGTGAAGATGATGACTTGAGCATTAGGAGATGCAGCCCACTTGATAATTTTAAAGAAGATAACATGACACTTATGCGATTATTAGATAATGCAGACCCCTTGAAATTGATGCATGATGAAGATGGAGGCTCTCTCTCATCAAATTGCAATATTGGTTCACCAATTAAGGCCATTGAACATGAGAAAAACTGAAAGAAATCTAAGCAAAAATTGAGTAAGAACAGAGAGAATCAAATAGGTTAAGGGTGAGAAGTTGAGAGAAACCTGATTCAGACAATGCCTTGTATATCCTGCAATGGTACTAAGCCTCAATCTACTCTTCCTTGTAGGTAAAGAGCTTCCAAGCAAGCAACTTCTCCCACAACCCTAACAGGCTCATTAAACTACTTGTTTTATGGGCCATTCTGAAACATTTTAAAAAAGTTGAACCACCATATTTTACGATGTGAAATCCACGTACATGTGAGCAATCCCCCCCCCCCTCAAAAGGACTGTCTGTATCATACTACATTCAGTTTAAAGTATAAGATCTAGTTTATAGTGTAATTTATAATGCAAATTATATCTTATATTTAGGATCGAAAATAGTATAATTTATCCGATAAAGTTTGGAAACAAAACAACAATGAAACAAATAAACAACAAAATTATTCAACTCCTACTCTAACTAATTACAAGAGTTGGCGGGCATAGAGCCCAACCCAAAAGACACACCTATTTGAGAGTAGTTTTGGCAAATTTGACTTCGTTTGTGAATATTATGTGGATCCGTGTGAAACTGAGAACTCTAATTTTTAAAAATAAGTATGGTGGTTATTAGTACTCATTTTAATCAGAAATATAACTATGTTTTAAAAGTAATGTTTAGCTGAAAATGTAGGTCATCTTATAATGTGAGCTCAATTTTTTTAACTCTACCCTTGTTTCATATAGTTGACTTAATCAAGAACTAAGGGTAAGATTAGAAGCAACTGATTTTTTTCTTAAGAAAATTAAGGATAAACTAACTTCTCTTGATATGTGTAAATTATCTTTTTAATAAAAAAATAACTTATATTCTCACTAGTCCATAATGTAAGACACTTTCTACAAATTATTATTGATCCAAAATGTATTCCATTTTGTAGTTTTAAGAAATACTAGTGAGAATATAAGTATATTTTTATTTTTGTTCCTGCGTCGGTTAATGTGCGTTGAGTAATTATGCATTAAGCGCTGTGAGCGTTACTTGTAGATAAGGGCAAATTAACCAAAAAAAAAAGTCAATTTTTCATGAGCTTAAAAAATTAAATTTTTTAATATACGCGATAGATATCGGAAGTGTACTATAAATTATAAATTGTGAGTATATTGAAACATGAGGGAATGAAAGCCATGCGCATTAAGACTATTTATAAGAGGGCCTACAATGAGGGTTTGGGAGTGAGATCCAACAATAATGATTAAGGGAGAATTTTATTATACTCCCATAAAAAAGATTTAATTTCAATTTATTCTTAATAAAGTCTGAAATTTCACTCATTATTAAAGAATCAAATTGAAATTATGCATTGATGGTAAATAATTAAATTATTAAAATATCCACATGTTGCTAAAGAATAAATGTTTCAACAAAATGGGCGTAGAGGGATTTAAACCTATGATCACTTTAGCTCCCCGACACACTTTTGACCACCAAAGGATTAAACCTATTTAATTATATAATATACCTCCGATCCTTAATATAAAAGTCAATTAACTAATTTGAGTAGATTAATAAAATTTGTTAAGTTAATTTTTTGTAATAAATAAGTATTATTTTTTCTAGAATACCTTTACTAATTATGTGTATTAGCAAGAACTATCGTTTGATAGAATCTTTAACATGTACACCTATTACAAAGACTAGTTTAAAATAAATAGATAAATATAAGCTTGTTAGGATTGTGAGACAAAGTGGATTTTGGTTTTATATTTAGAACCAAATTAAAAATCAAACTAGCTCTTATAATTAGGACCAGAAATAGTATAAGACATAATTAAATAATTTGAGTATATTAAAGATATTAGTTCAATTAGTTAATATGCTATTTGTTTTATAAAAAATCATAACCATCTTCTTTAATTTTCTCACTTCTTCTCCTACTTGATTATTATTGGAGAAATATCAATGAGGTTAATTTAAAAAAAATAATAAACATATAAAATAAGTTTTATATATAGAACCAATATTAATTCCATAACTAGGCATATTAATTACTATATAATAAACTTTGCTTCAAAACCACTTACTTATCAAAAGATGATGTGATTTGTCAAAACAATAAAATAACTTGTCATTTCAAAAGCTTGCCTGTCAATTTTTTATGGGAATTTGTTGGCTATACCCTTCACATATTTGATCTTATTTGTTACAATATGAAGTACATTTGTTGAAATTCTAATGGTAACAATAATACACTCTACATATTCAATCTTGTTTGTTATAGCATGAAATGAACATGTTTAAACTTAACTCAATGCAACTTGTCAATTCTCTTTGGTAATTTGTTGACAACACATTTGGCATATTTATTGTTTTTTATTGTCAACAATCTTGTTGAAAATATTATCGATTAAACACGAGTACTATCTTAATAGGATTTAAACTTTGGTTCAGATGAGATTAATTATTTCTCTTATACTACCTCATTGGTTAACAAGTTTTACTATTTATAAGACTTAATATAATTATAAATAATCATGTATGATATCTATGAAGAAAATTTTCATAGTTGAAATTTGGGAAAATGACAAAAACTGTTTATTAAATTTTAAAAAAATAAATAGGTTATGTTTACTACTTTTGTAATAGTCTTGAATGTCAAAATCTATCAAAATTACCTACCTGTTATTTTCAAATTTAACAGTATTTTTTGTCTTTTTTTTTTTGAACTATCGAGATAATAAAAAATTCATAAATAAATCACTAAATATATTTGGCCAAAAAAGTCTGTTTTTCGTCCATTTTTTTCAAATCAGACACAGAAGATTAGAACGGGAAGCTCGGACCACTGTCAATTAAATGCAATGCAATTTGCTATTAAATGAGCATTGTGCCGTCTCTGTTCATTTAATTACTGCCTCATTTCCTTCTCTTGACTCTCCGTCTTCTTCTTCTTCTTCTTCTTCTGCAAGTTCAAGAATAACCACCACCAAACGATGCTACCGGAGCAGTGGGTGCCGCCGTGCGGCAACCGATGTACCCAGAAATATGCAGCCCTTACCCAGCTTCCATGTAATCGTCTTCTACCCATTCCATCCAAGTCTCCTATGTTCTATTGTTGTTTTTGTCGTCCGCTTTTTATTTTTCTCTATAATTTCTTGCACTTCTGTATTTTCTTGTTTTCAAGATATTTAATCTTGGTAATGTATGCTTATAAGCATCATTTTATTGATTTGTGTAACCGCGCGGCGTAGCCCATTTCATTGACTCATAACATGCCTGGCTGGTGGTTTGATAATTTGAGTACGTGACATGGGCGAAAATCGGTATCTTTGTTTATAAACATTGCTGGTATCTTCCATGGATTACTCTATCATGCGAATTTTTTGTGTGGTTAATTGAGAGAAGTTGTCATGAAACCCGTCTCTGCTCGGAGGAGTATCATTTATGCAGGTAGGTGGGTTGCATTTCGGATATTATTCTGCGAAGTGAACAAGGCAATTCTTGCGTGTCTAACGTATCTTGTTGGTTGGTTGGTTGGTTTTTTTTTTTTTTTTTTTAACTCCAGAAAAATAGAAAAGATTGGAGATTCATCGTTTGAGTTTGTTGTATAACCCGAATGACTGTTGCCTTACTTGTGACAATACTTTAGGGCGAGTGTTCTGCAAGAAGGGATGCAACTCAGATGAAGAGACATGGGAAGAATGTGAGACTTCTATGCTGCTTCTTTACTTTTTTTCTACATATTGAATGATATGCATATGAATTCTTATATATTTTATTTATTCAGACTCTAGGCTGTAAAGCGTATTGGATTAAGGAGAATGGGGAGGGGAAATTTTCGTTTAGGCGTTTTCTTTGAATTAGATTCAGATCTAACATTCTTTTCCTGAGAACATGTTCATATTGATTTTAATGAATGGGAAGGGAAGGAAATGTGTGTAAGTCTAAGAAAATTTCCTAATCAAAGTATAAGGACAAAGCTGGTGTTCCATCCTTAATCCAAACATATCCTATATAGTTTTCAGTTTCTAGTATTTCTGCATTTGTACTGGCATTATGAGGAAAAAGCTGCTGTTCCTTCCTATCACTAAATATTTTTAAGTATTAGTAGAATTTGTTTTGATTTATTAATTCCAGTGAAACGTAACTATGACGCGGGACCAGAAGGATTTCAGTGATGAGAAGAGAGAAGAGAGTGAGAAAATTCATGAATTAATCAATTTATTCTGTGATCAAATAAGGGCCTAAAATATATTAAAAACATAAGAAATAATTGTTAAAAAATAAAGAGGAAAAAAAAAAAAAGAATAATCACCACAAAGCATAGAATATTGCAGAAATATATATATATATAGTTGACCTCTTACATTTCTTATGCCCATATCTATAAAGTGATTTCCTTTGATTAGACAAATAAATTCATTTTAAGTTGCTTGACTGAAGGGTTTAAAATCTGACAATTAGGCTATTGCTTTAGGTTTTGGCACTGTTTTCTTTAACCTTCAAACTTCCTGAGAACATGCTGACTTTGATCGTCTTGGAGAATTGCATCCAGAAAACTCACATGGTTTGGAGTACTGTTGAAACAGGTTTGGAGGACTGCAATCAAATTTGCTACAAGGACCCTGTCATAAAGGACCAGCAATGGAGTGCATATATTGACCGTTCTCCTGGATCAGCCTCTTATTCAGAGGTATTCTCTGATCTTATCCAGTTACTATTGCTTGCTTGCTTGCTATGCTACTGGTTACATTATTGCAGCATACATTGATGTTTCAGTCTTTAAATGGTTTCTCTTTCACTTTTACTCAATTTTTTTAGAAGTTTGATTCTGCTACCTTGAAGGTAAGGCTGTCTGTATGTCAGCTAGTTGTAATGTAAGAATAAATTATTTGGTTATTGCTATTCTAGCTTTTACATGTTTAAGCAATATCATTGATCTCGTATAAACTATGACTGAGGATACTGCATACCGTAATCATTTTCTAATAACCATTTTTGAATTCAGTTAAATATTGTTCATGGTGCCCATAGGCCTATCGGTAGTTTTCTACCTTGTGTTCATTGATGTGATGGCACCACTTTAGATTAATTCTAAATCTAAGTTGGAACCTTTTATTTTTACAGGTGATTTAAAGGAGTTGCTAGAAGGCATTTATGGGTTATTTTTTCCTTTTGTGGCCGTGTTTGTGGATTAGTTACAGGAGTCGGTTGTGAACTATTTTATGTAGCAGCAAGTTATAATGGAATAATTATGTTCTAAAGCATCATAGACATTACTTACTCTGTCTAGAAGGTAATGAGGGCACTACCACGTCAGGGGTTTAGGTCCTGTTTTGGTGTAGGAGAAACTGACTGAGACGAGATTAGTAGCTAGTTCTTGGTCAAAGCCTTTTTTAATTCAATGTCTTAATTAACGGAAGGTCAATCTGATATGAGATTAATGTGAGAATGATTTAATGAAACAGTAAGTTTTAACGACTTTGCTGTTTGTTTCCTAGAATAATCAGAGTCTTGGTTGAGGAAATTGAGAGCAATTATGTAGGAATGACTATCATTTGAGATGCAGTTCAATTTATGTGGACACCTGGGTTCTTCTGATTAGAGTTTTCTTTTGGTGATGACTGCCACCCTCTTAGAACCTTATAAATTCATGGTTGTTTATCAAGAAAGAGAATGGGGGGCATGACTTATAGGAAGAAAGGTCTGTTACGGCATGATTCCCCTCATTGGCCCATGAGCAGCTTTACCTTAAGGTGAAATTATGTCAACTTTCTGAAGTGAGTTACGTGGTAACATGCGAGTGGTCAGATTGATTATTCACTTGGAGGGCCATGATTTATTTATATGACCTTTTGCTCACTTAAGCCAAGCATATCTCCTTCTATTCTTTGTTTTTGTGCATTGCTCTGCTATGAGTTTATGAGAATAAAATGCTCTCATTTAAAATATTATAAGCAGGGTGCTAATATGTTGCGCAGTGTGCTGCTAAGAGTTTTAGAAAAATAATGTTGATCCCTTCCCTTCATTTGCAGGAATGCTTCCATGCATGTGCATCCGGCTGTGGTTTCAAGGTTAATATGATGTTTAATTATCTTACTTTTAGTAAGTCCTCTACGGTGAGATGCATAACAGTTTCCTTTTAAGGTTATATGGTAAGATGGACTCTTAGGCTTGAGAATGTTGCCAGCGACTGCGAGCTCCTGAGGGAATAATACTAGTGGGCACTATGTCTAATCATACTTGTGTCATATAAGTTTCATTTTTCTACCACAGTGATCTGCTAAAATAATTGCTACTGTGCATCTTTCTTTTTCACGTAAAGAGTCTGCTAGTCTTCAACATTTTGATTTTACTTTTAATGATATCTTTGCATTTTACAGTTCGACATCAAAGAGGAAGAAGTTAATAAGGCTTGTCCTAACAGGCCATCATATTCTCATCCTGATCAAAAGCAAGGGCCACAACATGTACAACCTACCAACCAGTCAACTGCTAAGCCTGGCTCTTCTGCGTAGTGCTAGAGATAGGTTGATATACAACAAACCCAGAACCCTGTAACGATTCTTTCTGGCCATTTTTTGCGGGAACTAGCCTGACATCATATTTTTTTGTCAGCATGGTTTTGGATCACTTGTCAATAGATTTAGTTTCTTTCTTCCTTGAGGGTCTAGAAGTTTTTTGTTGCCGAAAAGGCTTGGAACTTGGGTTTTTTTCTTTTTTTGGAATGGATATACTGTGACTTCAACTATCATAATGGTCAGAAGTTAAAAAGCTGGAATTTTGCAGTTTTGCATACGCTTTTTTCCCTATCAAGTTGACTGAGGAAATTTGCATAGTGTTCTTATCTAAATGGAATTTTAAGCAGGATGTCATATTTCACAGTTGTTACTTGGTAATGCACGCCATTGCCATTGCAATTGTTGGTTGTTTCGGTTCAAGTTATATTGTAGAATTGATGCCAAGTGCCCATTTTTTATCATTCGCTGGTGTTCAAAGATATGCATGAAAAATTACCACTCAAGTTTGATGCTTTTGTGAGACTTGGGCACTGTAGTTCCATCAAAATTAACTTTTCTCTTTAATCGACAATTGACAAAATTATGCCTGATATTAGTTTGTTGACAAGAGCATGATAGTTATTTTTTAATTATTTATTTTGTTGGTTACTGAGATGAGATGGGGAACTAGCTTGCTTGAACTTCTCTGCCCACAAAAAAAGAAAAAACATCAGCAATCCCAAGGTTTTTACCGAAAAGCCAACATTATTATTAGGAACACATTACCCAATTCTCTTGTTCCAGCTTCTATGCATCAAAATCCCTGTAAATGGTGACGTTCCGGATTTTTTTTAATTCTGTACTATGTTGGAAGTTAATTTTTTTATTAAAAAAAGTTTTTGTGCGTCTTCACTTTTGAGAAAGTTTTTTTCCTTAAAAGTTCATTTTCTTTCTAGGGCAAAATTGCGAGCAATATTAAAGCCTCCCACAAAAACTTGCCAAAATCTGCATCCTAGTAATCGGTATAATCTATATGAAGGCCAGCATGCTTCCCAGCTCTTTGATTAAATAAATAAATAAATTTAAATACAAGAATTGATACCCATTCAGGCTTAAAAAGAAAATAAAAATAAATAAACATTTATAGAATAATAATGATAACAAATACATAACAAAAATTTTATATCCTAATTTCTCTGCAACTCCTTGTACCGTGCTTCATTATCTTCATATTTTCCTCTGCGCCGTTTTCCTGAAAACAATGCAACCGCCAACTCCACAATTTGCCATAATTATCTCTTCCTCTCTTTTGGGGAAAAACAAAAAAAACAAAATTCCGGACAAACTACTTAGCATCAATCGATCAATCCATACACCAACCAAGGCCCCATTGGAGGACAATTCTCCCAACATAATTTTTTCTCATGCAGCCTTAAAAGTATCTGCTAATCGTTGATAGTATTGCTTTTGCTGCTCCAAAAAACAAAAGAAACCATTGTCACAAAAAACAAAAAACAAAATAAACAATTTTAAGCATAACAAAATAAACCATTTTAAGCATATAAAGTATAAACCTCAATCTAATCTATACATACACACACACACACACACATATATATACACACAGTATTAAAATTCCAATATCACATACCATGTCTGACACCGAGGGAGAAATTTTAGTGAGAGCAGTCTCAAAATGGCTTAATTTGATGGTCAATGCATCTGAAGTTCTCTCTGCTGTTGATGCCGACTTCTCTTCAGCAGCAGCCAGAGCTGCTTCGTTCATCTATATGTTAATCAAAGTCAGCAAGCTCCCCAGAATCGTTACCACATTTACACATGTATGTTGTTATTGTGATAAAGATCGGACTAGACTAGCCGATTTGACCACCATGTGGGGAAAAAACAACGAAAAAAAAACTTGCTGGTCTACTATCTTATTTGATTTGCTTAAAAAATCAATCAGTCCAAAGAAAACACCAAACAGATAAAAATTCAATCAAAACTACCTTCTTTTTTTTTGTTTTAAAATTTTAAGAGTTCGTATCTTCGTAACTAATCCATTGCTGTGAGTGACTAATCACTTTTTACTATATCAACAAAAACATTTTTTTTCCTACATCAATCAACATAAGTTTAATATGATATGATTTTTTATAAATAAAATTAATATATCATTATCCACAATTCAGCAACAGTTGGACCAATAAATTGTGTATATGCATACAGCACCCACATGATACACTCATGCAATGATGCTACGAGAAGAGGGCATGAGGGCTTTTAAAATATCATTTCATATCAGCTCTGGCATAGGATAACCATATACATAAAAAGCAGATACATACCAATGCAGCAAGATCAGCACCACTAAGATTTTCACAAGCTTCCATTCTTCCAATGGCACACAAATCCACTGTGTCATCAATTGGCTTCTTCCTTGCAAGAGCTTTTAAGATCAAGCCTCGCTCATCTGAGTTTGGCAGAGGAACAAACAGAAGTTTACCTAACCTACCGGGCCGAAGGACTGCACGGTCCATCACTTCAGGTCTGCATAAGAGAAACACACGGTATACAGAATTGTCAGGTGCAGATAAAAAAGGAAGTGACAATGAAAATGTAAACAAGCCTCATATTCTTACTTAAACAAGAGATGCTATTAAATAATGATGAGGAAAGCATAACAGATATTACATTAAGAAATAATACTTTTATGCTTTCATTTTCAAGTTCCTTTTCCCAAACCAAATAGGTGTATATGAAATGTGATTAGAGATGGCAAACAAGTTACCTGTTTGTAGCACCAATGACAAAAACACCTTGCCTTTGCTCTGCACCGTCTAATTCAATAAGTAGCTGCAATCGCCAATATTTGTCAATTTTTTATCCATGCTGAAAATAGGAGTTATCCTTATAGCATGTTAGCATTAAGTGATTCCTTCCAAAGATTTAAGAAATTGTTTGACCTGGTTCAATAGTCGCTCTACAACCCATCCACCTTCTTTACCACGTTTAGTTGTCAGTGCATCCACCTAAAGATGATTCAAAACATAACAGGTAAATTTTACAAATTGCAGATAAATTAGAAGGTTCCCTCTACTGAAACAAATTCAGTTTCAGTTTACTTAGTAAATATAATTTTATATGCTGTTTGTAGGCCAAAAAATTAACAAACAAGTGAACAGGTCTTTCATATTTTTAATTTTGATATTTTTTTATTTCAAACGATTCGATACAAAAAAAAAAATCAGACTTATAAGGATGATTTAAATGAAAAAAAAAAACTGAAATTAGGACCATTGAGATTTTAGACGTTTCTCCGCTGCTCCTTGCAAAAGGGCAAAAATTGGGTCCATAATAAACATTATTCAAAAGTAAAATAGCCACAAACCTCATCAAAGAAAAGAATGCAAGGTGAACATGTTCTTGCCCGACTAAACAATGTCCGCACTGCTAGCTCACTTTCTCCAACATATTTATTTAGAAGTTCAGGGCCCTGCAACAAAAGCGATTAAGACAATTCATTAAGATGCTTCATTTCAGACAGGAGGATCCTGTAACTCAACCAGAACTTAAGAGACAATGGTGCTGTAGCTGTTAAACAGACCTTGATATGAATAAAATTGGCTCCCGCCTCATTGGCAACAGCTTTAGCGATCAGTGTTTTACCACACCCTGGTGGTCCATAAAGCAAAAATCCTGTCTCAAGATCCACCCCAAATTCCTGAAAAATAAAATTTCAAGAAATTAAAAATCATGTGAGACAGTGTATAATGATTTTTCATGACATAGCGTGTACAAAAGTCTATTGATCCATTATAGATTAATAAGATGATTTTAGAAAGAGAATTAGAAAGTGAATCATTGAGGAGTAAGCTAGTTATAAAATCAATATTTAATAAATACAATACATGGTTCTGGGATCTCCAATAATAGTAATTTTTGTTGAATTAGATTCAGACACATGGCTAATATCACAAGCATAACGTAAACAGAATTTGCGGGCCACAGTACAGTTGAAAAAGTGACTACATTACAGAAGACAGCATAAAAACAATATCAAATTGACAATGCAGATTTACTATCTTGTTACTTAACAAAAATACACTGAGCCCCAAAATATTCCAAAAAGTAAATCCTTTTGTAAAGTATAATCCCCACTTCAAATCTCTAACACTAAAACCCATTGAATGAAATTGATTACCTTAATAAATATCAATATCAATATATATAATAAAATCCATAGTAAGCGACACTATTCACAAACCATATGTTTAGTTACCATCTATTCAAACATGAGGGAAGGAAGGGAGAAGGAAAGAAGAGAAGAGGAGACGAGAGAATGAGAAAACAGAGAACTCAGAATTTGGTAATTCACAAAGATTCATCTGTGTCTGTTACAATATCTTGATATCTATTTATAGACCCTATCCTCACCTATCAACTAACTAACCAACTGTTCACTGCAACGTTATGATTATACAACATATTACCCTTGACTGCTAGATCGATGAGGGATTCAATGACACGACAATAGACAAAGTCTTTCCTGCATTTCAAGCAAACGCATGGCCAATTATCAATTTATGAATTCTTTCACACATATCAGCTACAGCCTACCCATTTAAGAGCTACAACGGCACACAGAGAGAGAGAGAGAGAGAGCTCTAAACACCATGAATTTAGAACTTTCACCAGCCCATCAGACCCCTTGATTTTGTAAAGGATAGATCCTATGTTAAGTTTCAAAATGAAGGAAGAAAAAAAAAAAAATCAAGGAAACATACCAGCATTAAAAAAATTGGCAGGCTAAATATATTTTATCCAACATAGGACTAATATTCATCTTCAACTCATTTAATAATCATGCATTCTGCCAACAGAAGCACTTTCCTCTTGTAATCAATTGCACCCCAAATTAATCATTAACAATGGTTTTCAAAAATGTATCAGTGATCCCCTTACTATAATGTGATAACAAGCACCCAATCACCCCAAAACCTTAGGGTAGAAAAAAAGGTACAATCTAAAAGATGAAAAAATGCATATAAAGTTCAGCTAATTTAATGATTTTCCCCAAACAAAAGCTGCCTACTTTACACATCCATCTCTGCCACAAGTCAATAAAACAATTCCAGCCAAAACTACCTCATAATCCTCTGGATACTTTATGCGTCTGACAATATAACGCTCAAACTCTTGTCTTAGAAGATCAAGCCCCCCAATATCTGCCCATTTTACATTAGGAATGGAAGAGAACCCTTCTCTTCTTGATGAAGGTTGCACTAATTTGACTGCTTCCTGCAAAAGTACCCCGAAGATTATAATGGTTTTCCATGTTATTAAAAAATATTACATAAACCATAAAGGTAAATCTTTCTAAACATTCATCAATTTATTGACATGGAAAAATTATTGAAATGAAAAATGTTGATGTAAAACTTATTCTAATCAAACAATTGAGATGCTCATAACCATAAATAAATGGAAACACACAAAGACATACACGCTTCATTACGACCATTCTGAGAATAAAACTTGGTTTAATAAATAGCTGTAATAATGTATGATATAATTCTAGAGGCAAGAAGAAAAAAACCTTGGAGGTAATTAGAAAAGGAAGGAACAAATAAGAATATGAGGATATAAATCAATCTAAGGCACCTCAAAATCTGACATTTTGATGACAAGCTTATCCATCTCTTCTGGTAACCAAGGTTCCCTCCACCAATCTTCATCATGCTCATCTAAAAGATCTTGGGATAATTCATGTTTCCTGTCGTGAATAATTCTTTTCATTGCTAGGTTACCCGCCTTATCAGCTAGAGCTGCCAAATCTGCTCCAACAAAACCTGGTGTAGACCTGGCTATTTTTCTAAGGTCAAATGAGCCCTCCAGATTCAGATTGCGAGTAAGCACAGACAAGATCTCCTCCCTAGCATATTCATCAGGGACACCAAGGAAAATTTCACGATCAAATCGCCCAGGCCTTCTCAGGGCAGGGTCAACAGCATCAGGCCTATTCGTAGCTCCAATAACAAGAATATAGCCAGGAAGGGCATCAGAACTTTCTGAGCTATCAGCTGGCTGTAAGAGCCTGCTTGATTGATCCATTGAAGTCATTAACTGTGTTACAATTCGTCTCTCCATCTCACGTTGTAAATTTTCTCTTTTTGAAGCAATTGCATCAATCTCATCGATAAAGACAATTGATGGGGCAGTCTTGTATGCTTTAGAAAAAAGCTCTCTAATGTTTTCTTCAGAAGCCCCTAAAGTATTTATCAAACGATTGGTTAAGAAAAATTATCTATCAAAAAGAAAGGCTTAATGGTAGCAGCAATCAAACTAGTTTCAACTCCCAAATTCCGACCAATTAACTGGAAATATCACTTAAAGGTTATGTTCTTTACAACTAAGACAAGTAAAATAGAACATAACAATCCAGAGCTTTAACTTCCTGAGGTCAAGTTGTCGACCATCCAAGAAAATGACAACTCACTCTAAGCAGCCATATCAATATCAGGATAACCGTAACAGTAACAAGTTGTAATCACTAACCACGTTCCAAAGATCCTAATTGCTACTTAATATCAACCTTGCAGGCTGCACAAACAATCTTTTCTTTTTTTTTGGCCACTGCACCAGTAAGTTTATCATAAAGTTGCAATGAACAGGAATTTTTGTCACCACGGACTCAACTTATTCCAATCAGCATTGTTCATCATTAGCAATTATAAAGCACTGACGACATCAGTTCTTTACATAATTCACTTCAAACATCAACTATCTTCAGATAATGCCAATCAATATAAGCTTTGAAGTTTTCCCCTAACAAGTAACTACATTGATATAAGACGGTCAAGCATGGGAAAAATCAGGATCACCAAAGAACAAAAACAAAATTTCAAAGATAAATAAATAATTGGAATGGTAACATTCATACCTGAAACTCCGGAAACCACTTCTGTTGCTGATATCTGATAGAATGGAAAACCGGTCTCATTAGCTATAGCAAGAGCCAGAGTGGTTTTGCCACACCCTGGGGGTCCATGTAACAAAATCCCTGCCATAGGCCTCACCCCTAGCTTTCTTGGCAACTGTGGATGATAAAGTGGAACAATTACTTCCATCTTCAATTCCTCCAGCACCTTCTTCATCCCACCCAAATCTTTGAATCTAGGTCCACCCTTCCCCTTGACCTCAACATCACCATTGCCATTCGGAACTGAACCCCTCAATTGCCTTTTTGGTTCCAAATCATCGTTCATGTTACCTCCAACCGCATTCATAGCATCAACCTTAGTTGCCTTCTTATTATTAGCCACCTCCAGTTCAATGTTTTTCTCCTCTACTGTGGATTTCACATTCTTTGTTTCCGAGTATGAAGCCCGCAACATTGTTTTCATTAAGTCAAAGGCTGGTTCCACTTTCTCCCCATAAATTGCATCCTCTGACGTAGACACAGTCCCATCTTCGCCGTCTGATGACACTGATGTACTAGAAGTTGAGGCAAAAGAGGTTGATAGAATGCCCCGATCCCTTTGCAACCTTTGAAGGTGTAAATCCTCCATTTTTTGCAATCTCTCTTCGCTTTCATCAACTTTCTTGCGCCTCTTTCGAGATGCACTTCGACCCTCTTCTTCGTCTTCATCATTATCTTCTACGGTGTCAGGCTTCAATATGGGAGTATTAGGCTTTCTGTTCAACTGCCTGTTCCCATGCTTGGATGACTCCAAAGCTTCTTGAACAAATCGAGTCAAAGTTTGTTGTTTTGTTCGCTGATAATCAGGGTAATTTGCACGAAGATGATTCACAATTTCATCCATAGTTGAGTACCTGGATTTGCAGGACTCGAGGCGACGACGAAGAATTTCGTGCAGTGACCTTCCTCCATTTCTTCTTCCCATCTCCGTAGATTCTGTAAAGCACCGACTCAAACTTTCTTTGTTGTTGGTTTAATATGCTTCAAAAACCAATGTACAGAGCAGGCGACACGATCACGACCATGAAGACGCAGTACGAGGCTCTGAGCATGACGCAGCAGCAGAGCAAACCCGGAGCGGAAACTGAAGAAAACCTAACTAGAGACCGTTTTTTCGGCAACCATTCATATTGAAAAAAATTGAGTTAATACAATTTTTTAGCTCAACTCTTTTTCTATTTTTAGTTTTACCTCAACTTATTTTTCAAACTTATCCCTCAATTTTCAATTCATAAATTTTGATTTTTTAAATATATTTTTTATTTAAAATATTGATTCTTATAATTTAATAAAGATCTGAATTATTTTGTCTTTTTAAAGAACTAAAATTTTTTAAAACTTGAGCAATTATAATAGAAATTAGTGCAAACTTAAAAAATCAAATATTTTATTAACTCTTTGGTTCAATATTTGATTTAAACTTTTATTTTTTATTAAAATATTTATAATTACATTTTTATACTTTTATTTGTGATAATTCGCATAAAATTTCAATATTGTAATTGTAGAAATTATGAGGACGAAAAAAATAAAGATATGAACGATAAAATTATAAAAATTAATCTATCAGCCTTGTCATTCTATTGTATTTAAATGTTAAAATAGAATGTGAATTTCTACCATTACTATTATTAAAATTTAATTTTGTCTCGTAACACGTAAAAATATTATTCTGTTGTACTTTACACATTCTTAATAAAACTAAAATGTTTTCCCTTTTGATAATTTGGAAAAAAAAAAAAAACTTCAAAACATCACAAAAGACATAAGTTTTCTGTTTTGAGAATAAAAATAATTGTTACGGATGCTGATATAATTTAAACATTTAAAATATTCCATTTGCCTAAAAGAAGATAATAACCATTTCAATGTCATCGTCTTAATTGGCTAGACAAGGTTTTTAAAAAAATCATATGTAAATAAATAGGATATTCCATCACTTAAATATCACCAACACAGCAGCACTGGGTAATTCCCTTGAGTTGGTAATAACGGCAAGAACCACAAACAGGTGAAAGGGATTTAATAACAATTTTAAATATATCTGTTGGCAAGAAATTCAGTCGAAAATTGCTGCACTCATTGTATTAATAAAAATTATGACATGAGGAAACGGTCAAAAATGAAGTGTGAATCCCACTAGAAGTTCTGGTCATGATGAAGAAATTCCTTCTACCCTAAGCTACCCAACAAAGATTTAAGAGAAGGACAAGCACAAACAAATCCCATCGAGAACTTGAATAAAAATCAACTGAAATTTGGGCCTTGTAAACTGCAATGTCAATCTCCAGCTCTATAATTTCATATCCAGCAAACGAGGTTTCTTGTATGGTTGGTTCCTCCTACAAAATTACAAACACAAGTTCCAACAAAACCTTGTCAAGAAAGGGGGAACAGTAAGGATAATAAATTCATCAAAATGAAAATTTTGTTAGTGATATAATCAACCATTTGCTGATATTAGTGATGAACATTGTTTATTTATATTTGATTAAAAAGGTTCAGGAAAAGAATTACCTGCCAGCATCTATTGCTTTCTTTTATCCTTTGATTTAGAGTGTTGCTGCCCATAATATGCTTTGTGCCTAGCCAATGAAAACTTAAGATGAGCCGTGTTTTGCTTTCTCCTGGCTTTTCGAGATAAACTTTTTGTCTCGACATTTGACTCCTCTGCAGATGGTTTATCTCTGTCTCCCAATCTATCTGATGAACTTGACTTGCTGGCATCATCTCTTGATTTTTTTTTTGTTCTTCTTGTCCAAACTTTTTGAATGAAGGAGCTCTTTAGTCTTCTGCTTCAGCTCGTACCTCTTCCGTTTGCTTAACTTCCATTCCTCCTCCCTATAAGGAGCAAGTTTCTTCAAGGAAATATATTGATTCAACTCTTTTTCGTCCATCATCAGTAATTCTGAGGCACTCAAGCCGAATCTGTTTGGCTTTGTTTTGGCATACTTGAATCTTGTCTTCAAGTCCCCAATGGTATCCTCATAATCTAATTTATAATACTCATCCATCATTGCCTGTCTTGCTTTCTCCAACAGAGCTGTTTTACGCTTCCTCTTCCGCTTACCTTCCTCATGAACTTGTTCTTCATTGTTTTCTTCCTCCTCTTGGAGTTCATGATCACTGCCATTCTCCATATTCTGCCTCAATGCTCGTTCCCTTGCAGCAAGAAACCCATCATCAGACCCACACGCGTCCCAGTCTTTAGGAAGTCCAAGCAATTCATCCTCCTTCGCAAAATCAGGCTTCTCCATTTCATCATTATCACCACAAAAATCTGAGTCAGCATCTTCTGCATTATAATATTTTTCATCAAATGCCGCCTTCATCATCTTATCATACTCCTCAGGGTCAAATTCCTCTTCTATTTCTGCGACAGACAATGGGATAAGATCGTCATCATGAATTCCTGCAGTCTTCATTATCTTCTTAACCTTCTCCTGCATCTCTTGCTTCTTCAAATTCTTCAGATGTTTCAACTCCTCCTCCCTCTCCTTCTGTGCTATTGCCATTCTCTCCTCTTTGCTCTTCCTCTGCTCCTTCCTTGCATTTGTCTTCTTCCTCACTGACCCTTCCACATTCCGAGCATGACCCAACACCCTGTCTCCTTGATTTTCTTGATATCTGAATTCGTACTCTTCCTGTCGTTCGAGATCACTCTCCTCTGATTCTGATACCCATTCCAAGTTTTCCTTATCAACACCCAAATTCTCCCCCTTTTTGTCAATCCACATCTCGTTCATGAAATAGTTTTTCAGAAACTTGGAATTTTCATCTTCATTTGTATCTTCGCTAAAGTACTTCTCCAATTCCTTCCCATATTCCTCATCATCACTTTCTCTTTTATTGTCACCTGCCTTCTCCTTCACTACAAAAAAATCCCCTTCATGATCATTTAAACCTTCCTTTTCTGATGCATTAAGAAAAGCCCTTTTCAATTCTTCTTGCTCATCAACATAAGTCTTTTTCCCCTCTTTATTTTCTGATATACTATTCTCCTTCCCACCACTTTTCTCTTCTATATCCCCAAAATCTGGTCCCTCCTCAATCAAATGCTTTGCCATCACATCCTTCAGATACATCGGGTTTCTACCACTTTTATTTTTAGAATAAACTTTCTCCATTTCATTGCTTTCCTCTTCACTGCTATCATCTGACTCAAAAAGCTTAACATCTTTTTGCATGAGACAAGGGTCCTTCTTCTTCACCTTATTTAAGCAGTCAAAAAACTTCTTATTATCCCTTCTAGACATTTTTAGCTTCTCATCATCAGATGATTCAGATTCTTCATCACTATCAGAGGATGAGGATGAAGATGAAGAGATAAGACCCTTCTTTTTTAACTCCTCAAGACGCTGGAGGTCCTCCCGCTTCTTGTTGTATTCAAATCTGCGAGCATACTCCTCATTTATCTTGACTTCTGATATGTCATCATTTTCTGAGTCACTACCATCAAAGAGTTGGAGAGCCATACTCTGTCGGCCAACACAGAAACGAGAACATTAAACAGAAATTCCCTTAAAGATGCATATTATTTGAAATTGGAAAATTATCATGACTCACAAATATGTTATAAGAGAAAGCAGCAGTAGCAACCAATAAAAATGGAGATAGACCCTATGACAAATATAAAACTAAGCTCTGATCTCAAAGGAAAGGGAGACAAAAAGGCTACTATAGGAAAGCCCTTTTACCCATATAATTGTTTTTCAGCAAACACTATTTTTCAACTAACAGAACTTACTAACCTTTACTAAACACAAAACTAACTACCATGTAAAGTTTTAAACAGAATACCATGAAGGAAAACCACCTAAATGAAACAAATAAAACTTTAAACTTCACATCACAATAAATAATGTTAGTGAAAGATAGTATTTATACTGGACAGATCTAAAAATTGAGGTTATTTGCTCTCTATGTCAGCGAATACTTTTAATCCATATCAGTAACGGACTTCGCCTATCACACTTGATACTTTAAGCCAAAAAAGCATGCAAAGCACAAAATCTTGCACTCAATGATAGATACTAAAGACCTAAACAAAACTGAGTTGGGCAACAGCTAAAATGCAGAATTTTGGACACACATTCGTCCAGGTTAAATTAAGACTTCTGAGCTTGAAATTGAGAGTTTGTTAAAGGTAATGCTTACAAAGTACCCCACAAAAAAAAAAAAGCAAAACAAAACAAAAGATGAAGACAGCTGAAAGATTGGAAAAGAAATCCGTGCCTATTTATCCCAGCAAAATACAAACAGTTCTAAACACTGATGACTGAATAAGACTAATCAAAGGGAATATGATAGAACTGAAGCACCTTTCGAGGGAGAAACGAAGTGAAGAAGAGTGATTATTAACGTAACTAATTTCTATTGCTCCCTCTTGTCTTTGAAATTGAAAGCTAATAGTTATGGCGACAGTGCAATTCAAATCAGCATTTCAATAGTGCATTCGAGAATCACTTAAGAGGTCGATGTACTTAATTCGACGATTTAGAACCTCTAGAGCAACCATTGCAAGCAAACAATAAAGATGCGCAAAGTGAGGATTGAAAATCAATAATCAAACATGGAGGACAGAGCAGAAACACCAAGCATGCTTCAACATCTTCGAAATGAAGAAAAGGCCAATCAATGTTGAAAATCTATAAATACCTCTTGAAAAGACTGCTAGAGAGAGGTCGTCGTCAACGGTAAAAAAGAGAAAAGAAGATGTTATCGGTATTTGCTGAAGCGGCAGGACGACGGACTCGGAGCTCGCGGAGACTGAAGGTACGGCACTACGGCGGCTCAAGTAGGCAGAAGGAGGGATTGATGGAAGAGGGAACTGGAACTGGGAAACTGGCGAACGGGGATATTTTTCTGGACTAGGGAATCAATTAGGGAAAATTATAATAAAAACCCGAGAATTAAATACAAAAAGATTCTCAAAATTATCAAATTATTCAAAATCCTAAGGGATCTTATTACTAAAGACTTTATTTGTTTAATTACCAAATTATCACTTTTTTAAGTATATACTGACAACTGAAAGAACAATCATTGATAATTTAAAGTACAACGATTAACAACTATCATGCGTATTAGCAACACAT